AAGTAATCAATAATTATCAATAACGATTGATATGAAATGCTTTTATCCTGATAAATTTTTCAGACATGTCACCCAGCCCTAACCTAACTACAGGTAAGATGCTGACTACTCATAGCTACTCCAGACAATCCCACATCGAAAGATAAAAAAACTCTTTTAAAACCTTTTAATAAGCATCTGTAATCACTTCTTGTCTGTTTTCAGTTAGATAATTTTAATTTATTTCTTTTTCTCTCTAATTTCTCACCATTCTCTCCGTCCATCAGTCATAAAAAAGGCAGAGAAATTTCCCCTCAGTCGCTCAGACCAGATTCAGCTCTGCGAGCCGCCAGTGCAGCGACTGTAACCTAACAGAATGTAAATAGAGCTGAGTTTTTCACATTACTTCACCGCTTATTTTTAGTAGCTGAACAAGAGCAGGCAAGGGTGTGCCTTTTTAAAGCTGCAAGTTCAAGTCTTATCAGCTGAATACACAGAAAAAAAAAAGGATAGAAATTATAAATCAAACACAACAACAATGATCCAATAAAGGAAGTGATGTGTTGGTTTATAGTTGAAGTTTTTACTGTAACTGGCAAACAATGTTGGAGCAGTTTTTAAAGGAAAGAATGTTGCCTTTTTTCCTTACTGTACTCCACAATAACTCAAGAAGTTAGGCATTTTTCTTTTAGCTCCAAACAAGTTAAGCCTAATATGTCGTAATATGTGGTTCTATATTTACTCTGCATTAAGAGATGAGCAACAACCCTCAAACTTCTGTCACTTGGATTACCCCCCCAGTTAAAGGTAGATTAGTGTTTTTGCTATTGCTCAAACTGTTAAAAATGTGCTTTTGCTTTGTTTTCTCACAAATCTGTGTCACTTTAGCGAGTGCAGAGTTCGAAAGTTTTCAGAGTCTATCTCCTGTCATCCCATCGTTTAACTTTGGAGACATTTTAATTTTAAAATGGCCGCCACAGCAAATTAAACTTAGCAAACACAAAATGGACTTAAACGCAGTTTACTTTATAGATGTTGAGCTAAACGTTGGTGTGGGATTGGCTGGGAGTCATTCTGACACATAACTGAACTGAATATATGAGGTCTATTTTTGAAACTTTGCCGTTAACTGTTATAGTCTGCCTGTTTGTTAGCAAAATTATTTATGAACTGGGTTTTTTTATTTGTTATTTATTTATTTTTTGTTTTGTTTTATGAAATTACACCTGTCTACAACAGGGCTATTTAATAAAATTGCTCCAGGAGCCACAGAAAAGAACAGAACAAGTATTACAGTGAAGCCCCGATTTTTGCAGGGGTTACCTTCTTAGACTATTAGTTTTGTTTTGTTCGTTTTTCAGGGGGAGGTCATTAGAGGGGTGGATGGAAGTCTACAAACATTTGGCTCGCACTATTCCATTGACATACGCTCTGTGCTGCTCCTTTTGTAACGCCTGCACAGGTGAGCTGCATACAGGAGTGCAGCAGGCCTTAAAGGGTTCGATCTAAACAGTGCATTCCAAACCTGCGGATCAGCATGTTGGCTTGACCATAGATCAGACTGTACGTCTGTAGACGTCTCCGTCACCTGACATGTCTGCAGTCACGTCATACCTCAAGTGTTCACATTCATCAGTGATGTGCAGCTTGTTACCTGACAAAGAAATCAGGGAACATCAGCTTGGAGTCCTCTCTGCTTCGCACAATCATGATGGTATTTTTCTTAGAATTATATTTTGTATCAGAGTCTCCTTTGTTTTCGCTCTTATAGGCCATCAGTATAAGGATAAAACAAAAATTACTGAATCCTCAGTAATGATCCTGTTACCATTACTACAGTCGTTTAAAAGCATTGACAAATAATGCATGTGCAACACTGAATAAAAAGGCTTCTGCTGTGTCTCACCATTTGAAACGGAAAGGAACTGAATCAGTTTCCCCATTTTACATACGTTGATTAGCATACTAAAAAACACTCTTAAATATTAACTAACATGAGATCTTATATAATTTATAAGGTCTGATTAAAACTATAACTCTGTCCCTTAGCGTAAACAATTAAATTTAAAATTTGACATGAAAGGCAACAGAAAATAAGTCTTTGGTTTTTAATTAGGTAATACATATTTTATCACAGAGCATATTTAATAGTGGCTTTCACTCTCTAATATGCAGTTTTCCTCCGAGTCGCCCCTCTGTTCACTTCAGGAAATGTATTTTTCCAAATTCCTCTCCAGTATGTTTAGTTCCTCCCTGTTCTCACAAGTCAAAAGTTGATGGTGCTGGTCAGAAATTCCCAAGCATTTCTTTTTCTGCTTGCAATCTTTTTCTTTTACAGACATCCCCAAACGATTACATAAGTCCTTGTATAAATGCAGCTTTGAGAAATAGATGACTCGGCAATAACTGCAGCCGATGCTCATGTTTGCACCAATTAGTTTCTGTACTCTGTGAGCAAAATTAAGATTTTTTTTTTTTACGTGCAAAGATAGATTAAAGCAGTTCAAGTCAATGCGTTTGTCTCTGTGGGTGTGTGCACGTCTGTGTGTGCATACGTGTGCGTCCGTGGTTGATTTGCTAAATCGAGCATGTTCGTCGCAATCACTGAACTTGATGAGTCATCGTTTTCCACCGAGGTTAGCTGTTACCCTCTGAACAGTGAATTCAGAAAGCCTGAGACGTACACAAACACACACACACACACACACACACACACACACACACACACACACACACACACACACACACA